ACCGACTGGCTCTGCAGGACTGCGGGGAGAGGATGGCAGCGTGCTGAGGTGGCAGGTCGGGCCCCCACAATGCCCCATCTCCCCACCCTGCCAGTGCCACGTACCGCTCAGGTAGATGGCCAGTGTGGCCAGGATCAGGCTTGACAGTGCCAGGAGCGCCAGCAGGGCCAGCAGCAGGGGGTGGCCAGGGCCGAGGCAAGGGCAGGGGCTGGCGGGGGGCACGGGGCGCAGGGTGGGCAGGAGCGGCGGGGACACAGGTGACACGGGCCGAGGTGGAGGCCGGTGCAGGCTGCTGGAGGGAGCCGGGCCATTGCCTGCAGGCAGGGGAGAGAAGGGGTCAGAGCCTGGCCACAGGCACAGCTGGGTCTTGCACAGCCCCCTGCAGTGCTCTCACCCTCTGTGCCCTTGTGCCCGCCCGAGGCCCAGTACAGGTCGCTGATGGACTCCACGGGGCGCAGGCTGATGGCTCCGGACTCACTGCTGTCGGGGTCCCCAGGCTCTGCCGGCGCAGCACCCTCAGCCCTTCCCACGCCGTCTGCTGGAACAGAGGCAAAGGGTCAGCCTGTGCCCTGCCCACAGCCCCTGCCTGCCCTGGGCACCCCTGTGGCACCAGAGCCCTGCCAGGGGGATGTCAGCCTTGGCAGCCTGGTGCTGCACCAGGGCAGGCAGCCAAGACTGGTGTTCCTTTGGGCCAGCCCTGCAGCCACAGTGGGCAAGCGCTGGCTGTGCCCCCCCTGGCCCCACTGCTGTCATCAGAGCAGTTAGCGGGTGCCTGGTGGCCACGATCCCGGAGCCTTGTTAGTGGGGCTGGAATCTGGCCCTGGCTTGGGGGCAGGAATGTGCCACCCCCCAGCCGGGATAGCCCAGGCACTGTGGGACTGACTGGGGCTCCAAGGGCCAGCTGGAAGCTGGTGGGCAGGTGCAGAGCAGTGCCAGTTTGTGGTGTGGCCCAGCTTGCCCTGCAGATACCATGCTGCTTGGGGGTGCACAGATGTAGATGTGGGGTGTATGCTGTGCCAGGGGGCCCTAGTGCCCATTGCCCTAGTGAGCACGTCACATGGGACTGGGAGGGCTTTTTGGAAGTAGGCATGCTCCAGCACTGTTTTGGGAAGCAACCATGCCTGCATTGGGTTTGAGGGAAAAGATTATTTTCTAGGTGTTTGTGTATTTTTGAGCAGTGGGCAGGGCCCACGCACTGTGCCCTTGGCAGAGCATGGCAGGCTGGCACTGTGCCCACTCCCAATCCCTCCCGGGGTCAGTGGCATGTCGCAGGGCAGCGTGGCGCCGTGCTGCTGCTGTCCAGACTGTGTGTCACCCACAGGGCTGGCAGGCACCAGGGCTGGGGGCCTCAGCTGGTACCCAGGGTCCCCTCAGACCCCTCAGACCTTCCCCACACCCCTACCTTTGGCCAGGGACTGCTCCACAGGTACCCACATCACCCCCTGCACCCACTTGCCCTAGGTGGGGGGGCACAGCTGGTCACATAGGTTTGGCGCAGGGGTCTGTACGTGCCAGCTGCCAGTGCCCTCCCAAACCCTGCTGCCCTACACCTGCAGCCTTCCAGGACCCCCTTCTTCCCTGGGCAGGCATCTCTGCCCACAGACCCCATGGCAGAGGGCACCATCTGTCCACTACTTCCATCCCAACCCCAAAGCCTTGCATCACCTGGTATCCCCTGGGGTGCTAGAGCCACCACCAGCCCCAAGCCCACTCCCCAGTGTACCTTCTGCAGCCTCCCTGGGCATGGCTCCCCGTGCCTGGGCAGTGTGAGCGGGCAGTGAGGTGGTGCAGGGCCCCCAGGAGCTGGGCACTGGGTTCCCGCTGCGCCAACTGCGCTGCTTAAAATAGGACAGTGAGAAACACGGTTGGGGGGCGATAAAAATAGCTATGGGGAGGGGGGCCTGGTGGCGTGGTCAGGGCTGCTGGCAGCACGGTGCCAGTGGCAAAGGGACAGCAGGTTGTGGCAGTGCCCCACGTCCCCTTTCCCAGAGTAAAGGGGCTGCCAGCTCATGGGATCAGGGCAGAGCCCATGCAGGAAAGCTGATGCACTGCTGGCCCCATCCAGAGCCAAACTGGGGTCTGTGCTGTCTCTCAGCAGCAATGGCAATTGTGCCCTGCATAGGGACACCACAGAATCCTTCAGCTTTGCACACAAAAACCATGCCCGCTGTGCCAGGAGAATTTATTTAGGTTAATGAGACCATAGGGAAAGCCAGCAGCAGCACTGCTGGAGTAGGGGACCATGGCGGTCCCTGGCCTTTGTCACCAGCCCCACGTGCCCTGTGGCAGGCAGGTGTCAGAGGATGTGGGATCCTTGTGCCCATAGAGGCTGTGAGCGTGGATGGGCACCTGGCAGGAGGTGGCAGGGCTGTGCCATACCCGCTGGGCACAGTCTTCACCTGCCCAGCCACGGTAGCAGTGGCAGCGGAAGGCAGCCCGTGGGCCGGCACCGGGGCCAAGGTGCAGGAGGCTGCCCAGGTCGTGGGGCTGCCGGCGCACGCAGCGCCCGTGTCCATGGCACTGCCCGTAGCTGCATTCTCGGGCTGCTGCCGTCACGTTGGCCACGTAGGGACCCAGAGTGGATACGAGGTAGTGGCGCAGGCTGGCACAGCTTTCCTGGGGAGGAAGCATGAGTGAGAAGCCCCCCAGCAACAGAGACCTGGCCAGCCCTCCCTGGTGGGCACGGGGGATATGGCCACCCTGTACACACACCATCTCCTGCTGCCTGCAGTGCTGCCATACTCACAGCTGAGCGGGAGTACGACATGTCTCCCCAGAGCACCAGCCCGGCCGCTCCCAGTGCCGCGCTCTCCCCGATGGTGTGCACCAGGTCAGCCTGCCAGGAACAGAGACGTGACCCGTCTGGGGGACACAGCCTCTGTCCCCGTGCCACCCAGAACCCCGCATCGCAGCCGCGGCCCCACAGCGCTTACCAGGTGCAGGAACCGGGAGGAGCGGCGGAAGGCGAGGCGCGAGTAGGCGACCACGGGCAGGAGGCCGTCGGGCCCGAAGGCGGCCACGCGCAGGGCCTCGCGCAGCCGGTGGTGCACGTAGCGGCGGCGCAGGGCGGGCGGCAGCGCCAGCGGCAGGTAGATGCTGGGGTAGAGGGCAGAAGAGGCAGCCCAGAGCCAGCCCAGGTGGTTGTTACGCTGCACCTCCGCCGGCTGGCACTGCCCGGTGTAGTTTGCCACCTTGGCCCAGTTGCTGTTGAGGCAGTCGGGAAAGCGGTAGAAACCCCAGAGCCCTCCAGGGCGCAGGGCTCGGCCCACCAGAAGCGTCTCCTCCATCAGAGCCTGTGCCGCCTGCTCGAACTCCAGCTGGGCCAGTCGGAGCTGCTGCCGTGCCGGCAGCACGCCGTACTGGTCCCGCACCCACTGCTCTGAGGCTGTCCGGTACATCTTTTTGGCTCCCCAGTTTTGTGCCCACAGAGGGCTCCACTCCTCCCAGTCCACCACGGCCAAGCCATGGAAAGCGGGTCGCAGGAGGAGGCGGATGTCCTCGGCCACCCTGTTGATGTGGGCGTCGAGGGAGACACGCTGAGGGAGGCCCCCGTTATGGGGCACACCGTGCTGTGACAGGTAGGGGTACAGCCCAAACTTGTTCTTGTAGAAGATGGTGATGTTCTGGCCAGCAAAGTGGCCACCCTGGTTCTCCACGATGCCGTAGTCGCTGAGGGGCAGCCCTATGCCAAAGCGGTGCTGGCAGCGCCCGGTGGGGACGTTCCACACCACGGCAAAGGGCTGGCCACCTGCCAGGGGCTTGGGTGCCGGGCTCTCCTCACTGGCTGTGCCCAGTGCCAGGCAGGACCACAGCGCCAGCACCAGCACCATCCCGCCTCACCAGTTGTTTGCGGGGCCGGCACCCTGTGAGGAAAGGAGAGCCATGGGGTGAGGCTGTGGGATGCAGTGGGCATTCCAGCAATGCAGGCACTGCCCCCCTGGCACATGGTGGACTAGGATTGGCTGGGCTGTCCTGCAAGCACATGCTGCCCACCCCAAAACCTGACAGAATTGGGTACACTTGGGGGATTGAGACCCCTACTGCCTCAGCACTGCCACTGTTACCTCTGCCTGCTGCTCTCTGGTGCTGAGATCCTGCTTGCACCACCACAGCCATGGCACAGCTCGGGAGTGGCACTGCATGCCACTGACCCTGGTGCCTCAATTTCCCTGCTGCCTCCCAGTCCTGCCTGTAGTGGAGGCACCAAGACTCCCTGGTCCCCACTTCAGCACAGTGCTGAGCCAGGCTGGGTGACCTGCTGAAGGATTGAGTCCCCCCGAAGAGGCATGGTGGGGCCAAAGGGGCAGCTCTGTCCCTCACAGCCCAGGCAGGCCCAGAGGGGTCTGGAGCCCCTGCCCAGTACTGGCCCACTGCCCAGAATGAGGGGATTAGGCAGGGAACAGGCCCAGGGCCGCGTGATACAGCAAGGACAGTGCTAATCCCTCACTGTGAGACTGGACGCTCTCTCTGACCTTCCTGCTCCCATGCCTCTGGCCTTCACTGACGCCGGTGCCTTAGTGGGGGTTTGGCCACCTGCCCCCTTCACTGTGCAGTGCAGGGGACTTGATTCTGCAGCCCCACCACCATGCCCTACTCCCACAGTGCCCCCCCAGCCATCCTGTGCCTCAGTTTCCCCAGACTGCTCAGTGAGAGCAGCTGTGGGCATGTTGGAGGCCACCACGTTCCATCAGCCCCAGGTGACACACAGCAAATCCTGAGTAGAGGAGACACTGGTGGGACTGGGCGGTGCTCCTGAGGACTAGTGCCATCCCCACAGCCTGGGGTGGGCCGGCTCCCCACCATGCTGGTGGTCCCAGAGCCCCAGCCAGGTGAGCTGGAGGCCAGGCAGGAGCAGAGGCAGCATGCCCAAGTAGGACAGGGTATGGGAACTCTGCTCATTCCCTGCCAGTACCCCCCTGCCCCAACAATGGGGCCAGGGTGAACCATGTAGACTGGGGGAGCTGGTGCCAGCCCTGAAGAATGGCAGGCAGTCAGGCAGCGCTGCGGCGGGCACCTCCCGCCCGCACTGCTTTTAATCACCGGCTCGGGGCCCCAGACCCTCAGATGTCCTTCTTCATCCAGAAGATGGGGAGCCCTTTGGCATCGCGGTGTGGGGATTCCAGGAGGCTCTGCTCGCTGCTCTCAGCCAGGACACCCCTCGCCCAGATCACAGTCGGTGGGGGAGGCGGTGGGGGGACAGTGAGGGGCGGCGGGGGAGGTGGGGGGGCAGCAGGTACCCATGGCCTGCTGGAGGGGGCAGTGGCAGCCCCAGAAGGGGCAGAGAAGAGCCGCAGCACCTCAGAGGATATAGCCGGGCTGAGAAAGGCCACGTTCTGCACCGGCTCACCCAGGACAAAGCCCAGGTGGGCATAGAAATGCTGCTTGTCGTGGGTGGTGAGGTGCAGGCAGCGAAAGCCCCGGTTCCGGGCCCACTGCTCAGTGGCCTCCATCAGCCGCCGCCCATAGCCCTGGCCCCGCAGCGCCCGGGCCACCACCACGCTCTCCACGAAGAGGTCGTGGGGACGGCTGACCACGCGGGAGAGTCGGACGTGGCCCACGAGCTCGCAGGGCCCCTCCCGGGCGGCGGGGGTCTCGCTGGGGGCCCGGCTCCGCAGCAGCAGCAGGCAGGTGGGGAAGGCGTCCGAGGAGCGCTGGAGCGTGTGGAGCCGCGACGCCCGGCTCTTCCCCCACTCCTCGCCCAGCAGCTTGGCACAGGCTTCCAGCAGCTCCGGCCTCTGGTGCAAGGGGACCAAGCTGAGCTCCTCTGACACAGAACCCATTCTTCTCACTGACGGGAAACCAAGCAGGTCACAGCTTAGAGGTAGTAAGGCACAGACCATGCGTGTGTTCTCCCCAGCCCGCCACTGGCCCCAGCACAGGCGCAGTTCCCCTCTGGCACAGCCAGATGAGTTCATGGAGGTTTGGCAGGTCCAAGGTCAAACAAGAGATTCATGGCAGGGAAATGGCAGATGGTGCCAGCTCCAGGAAATCATGCCATGAGACCTGCAGAAAGGTCTACACTGCCAAATCAGCTGAGGGGCAGGAGGCACAGTGCCTCCTCCCCAGCCCCTGCCAGTAGCTCCTGCCACTTTGGCACCCATCAGACTAGCTAGCTCATCACACATGTCCTCAGAGTCATGCTTCTGAGAAACCCAAATAGCCTCTGAGGGGTCAGAAAACCCCCTCTCTCAGCCTGGCAGTTCTTATTGCAAAGGAGAAGCCACAGGCAGAAGGCAGGAGAAACCACCACGCCGGTTGATTAACTAGGATTGAGCAAACTGCTACAGTTCCCCTAAGGCAGTTGGGGAGGGCTCGAGTCTGCCCTCCCACACCCAGGAGGCATGGTGGGGTCACCCCCCTAGCTCCAAGACAACTGACTCACAGCTCAGCCGGCACTGTCCCTTTCAGAGGCCACATCCCACCAGCACTCCTGATGGTTTCCTTCTGTCTGCCCAGCAAAGCCACGCCAGACTCCAACAGCATCTGCCTGCCATCCACCTGCCTGCACTCGCCCTGCCTTCACCCACCCATCCTGTCTGCACTCACCCTGCCCACAGTCACCCTGCTCAGTCACTGTTCACACCCGCCCTGCTCACACCTCACCCTGCTCACGCCCACCCTGCTCACACTCACCCTGCCCGCTGCTGCTGGCTCCTTTGCTCCGGGTGCCAGCGCAGCAGGAAGCAGCCCAGGCTCATGACCAACCACAGCGCCTGGTTCTGCTTCCCCGGTGTGAATGACACGTCTGTCCAGGGCCCCACACATCACCCCCACTTCCCACACTGCACCCCCACACAGGGCACTCACCCTGCCTGCACCCCGACTGCTCCAAACCACAGACACTGAAACGGCATCACCCAGCTGATCGCTGCTCCCACCTCATGGCTGCACCTCCTGAACGCAGGTCCCCACCAAGCCACTGACCCTCCCCGACCACCGCTGACCTAACACTCACTTCATTACTGACCTGCTGTTTGAGCTGACACTGACCCCATCTCTGACCCACCACTGACCCCATCTCTGACCCACCACTGACCCATCGCTGACCCCTTCACTGACCCACTGCTGACCCCTTCATTGACCCATCGCTGACCCCTTCACTGACCCACTGCTGACCCCTTCATTGACCCATCGCTGACCCCTTCACTGACCCACTGCTGACCCCTTCACTGACCCATCGCTGACCCACTGCTGACCCCTTCATTGACCCCGATCACTGACCCACCATTGACCCCTTCACTGACCCACCACTGACCCCTTCATTGACCCATCGCTGACCCATCGCTGACCCACTGCTGACCCCTTCATTGACCCCGATCACTGACCCACCACTGACCCCTTCACTGACCTACCACTGACCCATCGCTGACCCACCACTGACCCATCGCTGACCCCTTCACTGACCCACTGCTGACCCCTTCACTGACCCATCGCTGACCCCTTCACTGACCCACTGCTGACCCCTTCATTGACCCCGATCACTGACCCACCATTGACCCCATCAGTGACCCACCACTGACCCCTTCAATGACCCCTTCACTGACCTACCACTGACCCCATCAGTGACGCACCACTGACCCCTTCACTGACCCACCACTGACCCCATCTCTGACCACCACTGACCCCTTCACTGACCCACCACTGACCCATCGCTGACTCTACTGCTGACCCCATCGCTGACCCTCTCACTGGCCCATCCCTGACCTCCCCACCAAGCCGCCACTGACCCTATCAGTGACCCCATCACTGACCCCTCACTGGCCCATCGCTGGGCCGCCCCCGAGCCCTGTCCCTGCCCCTCTCCCCGTTGTCCCCCTGCCCAGCCCGGTCCCGCCCGTACCGTTCTCGGCCCCGCCGCCGCCGTCACTTCCTCCGCTCGCCCGCCCGCCCGCGCCCTCTGCCGGGCGGAGGACGCGGCGCCCGGCCCGGCGGGGCCCCGCGCCGCTCCGGGCTGTGCCGGGATTCCGCGTGGATCCACCGACCCGGCCGCACCACACCCTACCTGGCCTGCCCCGCCCTCCGCAGGGCCTCCAGCCCAGGGACACCCAGCCCCACTGGGCAGATGCGCGGCGCTGCAGCTCCGCTCCCTTCTGGAGCAGGGCTGCCCAAGGCTGTCTTGGGGATGTCCATCTTCACGCCCTCCCCTCCTCGCCAAGGAGGGATACACTGTGCGGGAGCTCTCCATCCGTCTCCTTCGAGTCGTGATGGGGCTTACAGAGGGCACCACCAAGAAGATGATGAAGCAGGAGGTGCAGGACAGCTCCTTCACTTCCACGACCGGGACGCAGATGAGGCCAAGGTGGGATTTTCAAACTGGCCAGCCTTTTGGGCACTGCAGTTTGAACCCTTCAGATGTGTCCCCGTGAGTTCTAGCTTGCTCAGTTCCTAGGTAGAGCTTCCCTCCATGACCACACCTGCCCTTCTGCTCCTGCTGCCCGGATGGATAGGGAGGTGGGCTCCTTACCCACCCAGCTCCTTCTGCACTGCCTCTGGCATGGGTTCCTGCAGCCCCAGAGCCTGAGGCTCCACAGCTGCCACCAAGACCAAAACTGTGTAGCCTCGACAGGCTTCCAGCCAGAGAGGGTGGCTCCTCTTGTCATGCTCTGGGGTGCTAAGCCTGAGGGCAGCATCACTCCCCAGCTGGTGCATCCACTTGCACAGGCTGGGACAGGCTCTCCCTAAGCCTGTTGCCTTGCAGAGACCAGTGCAGGGCATTCCCACTGTCCTTCCCTGACTCCCCCTGTGCCAAAGAGAAAAGACATTGTCTGCACTTAATAAAATTTCTGACAAAAGCAGTTTTTAGCTCTTTAGAGCATCACCCATCCCGGACAGACAGCGTGGCCAAGGATGGGTCCCTGTAACTCTACAAAGGTCATGGGAAGGGAGCAGAGGCCGTGCCCGACAGTGGAGGCTGGTAAGGGTCGCTGAGGGGCAGAAGGAGTTGATGATGATTTCGGAAGTGCCAACCCACTGTCACTGTCACTGTCACCACGGGGTCTGCCAGCTGCAGGACGGGGCCCGAAGCGCCATGGGGGCAGAGCAGGCAGCGCCGGGGGCCCTGGGGCTCTGACAACCGGTGCCGGGCCGCGGGTCCCGTGGGTGGCCGGTCCCCGCCGCAGGGACCCGGGCACCGGCGCCGGAGCGGGGGCAGCGCCGGGGGCGTGGCCAGGCCGTGGGGCGCGGCTATGGGCGGAGCGTAACGTGACGTCACACCGGAGTGACAGCGCGGCCGTCCGACCGGGGCGGGGCAGGGCGCGCTTCCGGGACCGGGAGGCGGTGCGGCAGGGCCAATAGCAGGCGGGATCCTGCCGGCCTCAGCCAATGGGCGCTGTCGAGGGCGTGGCCTGGTTCCCGGTGGCGGCGGGGCCCACGTGCGGCGGCAGCATGGCGGCGGCGGCGGGCGGCAGGCGCGCCAAGGGCCCGCGCGGCGCGGCGGCACGGCGGCGGCCGGCGGTAGGGCCCGGGCCGGAGCGGCACAGGGGGGCGGAGGGGAAGGGCTGCCTCGCCGGGGTCGCCGCCGTGGGGCTTCTGCTGCGCTCGTCCCCGTTCCCGTCCCGTCGATCGCCCCATTTTGTTCCGCAGGCACCGGGCGCCGATGGGAGAGCGCGGGCGACGGCCGGTCGGCCCGCCGACGAGGAAGTGTCTAGCGACTCTGAGACAGAGAGGTAAGGGCTGCGCCTGGACAGTGCCGGTACCGGGAGATGCCGGCACCGGAGAGATGGCGGCCCGGGGGATGCCGGCACCGGAGGCTGTGCAGTACCTGTGGTGCCGGTAGCGATGCTCACGCACGCGTTCCCTGCAGCCCGTTGCTGGGGCGGCGGCGGCGAGAGGCAGCGGAGGAGGAGGTGGAGGAGACGCCGCAGGAGAAGAAGCTGCGCTTGGCCAAGCAGTACCTGGAGGAGCTCCGCCAGCTCGGTGAGTCCCGCCCGGCGCCGGTGCCCCGCGGGGCGGACCCGGGCGCTGAGCCCGGCCCTCACGCACTGTCCCGCCGCAGAGGAGGAGCGGGCGGAGGACGAGGAGGAATTCGAGCCCGCGGATCTCATCGGTGACCGGCTGAAGGAGGACGTGGTGAGCGGGGAGGCGGGCGCGGCCTCTCGGTCCCCTTGGCGGCAGGGGGCTCCGTCCCCTTCCCGCGGGACCGGGACTGAGGCCACCTCTGCTGAACCTCCCCCTTCTTCCCCAGCTGGAGCAGAGAGGCCGGCTGCAGCGCCTGGTCGCCAAAGATGTAAGTGCCCGGTGCTGGGGGTGCCAGGCTGCCGGTGCCAGCTTAGGGGACACTAAGGCACGGCCAGCACACTACAGCCTTTCTCCCTGCTGCTGCACCCTGGAGAAGTCAGGGCGCTGTGCTGGGGTACTCCTGAGCCTGGGGAAGGGTCCTGAGCAGCCCAGCTCACATCCTGCTCTTCCTGCAGGTACAGCCTCCAGATCCAGCCAGGATCCATGTGCTGCGGGGACACCAGCTGCCTGTTACCTGCCTCGTCATCTCTCCTGATGACAGATTCATTTTTTCTGCTTCCAAGGACGGCTCCCTCATCAAATGCAAGTGTTCACCTGGGGCTGTGGTTGGCTGTTCCCAAGCCCATCCCCTGCAGGGATCCAGGTGCCCTCTGAGGTGGCTTGGCCCTTGGCTGTTCTTGGATTGTGCATAATTCCAGGCTTTGTGGAAGGCTCACTGACACTTTTGGGAAGGTCCCAGTGGGTGATTGTGATGACTTTCCTGCAGGGGAGGTGGACAGTGGCAAGAGGCTGTGCGTGGTGCCTGGGGGGAAGAAGGGCACAGAGGAGCGGCACATGGGGCACGCATCCCAAGTCCTTTGCATGGCCATTTCGTCGGACGGCAAGTACCTGGTATGGGGACAGGGGTGGAGAGATGGCCATGGGGAGTGTTCTGCCTGGGTCCTGGGGGTGCAGGCTCATGCCCAGATGTGCCCTGTTGGGTTAAAGCAGCCCCTATCCCCTGCTGGGTCAAGAATGGGTCCCTGGGACAGCCAAAGCCCACAGAGTGGGAGTGGAGGCAGGGGTAGGCTGTGGGTCTCCAGGGTGCAGGTCTCAGGGGTCTCCTGCTATGTGCCAGGCTACGGGAGACAGGAACAAGCTGATCATGATCTGGGATGCAGCCACCTGCAAGCGCCTGCACATCTTCAGAGGGCACCGCGACGCCGTCTCAGTGAGTTGGGGGCATTGGGCACAGTGCTTGTGAGGCCAGCTCAGTATCCCTCACTGCTGTGCCCTGTCTGTCCATGTGTCCCCAGGGCCTGTCTTTCCGAAAGGGCACACACCAGCTGTACAGCGCTTCCCACGACCGCTGCGTCAAGGTCTGGGACGTGGCTGAGAACGCATATGTGGAGACCCTGTAAGACCTGGGGAAATCCCACTGGCCCGTCCAAGGGGTGCCCAGCAGCCCTGAGGAGGTGGGGAGGCAGAGAGCCATGCTTGCCACAGCTCTTTGTCATCTCCTTCTGCAGGTTCGGGCACCAGGACATCATCACAGGGCTGGACAGCCTGAGCCGGGAGTGCTGTGTGACAGCGGGGGGCCGGGATGGCACCGTGCGGCTCTGGAAGATCCCTGAGGAATCACAGCTCGTCTTTTGTGGGCACCAGTAGGTCTGGGGTGGAGGAGGGGGCTGCGGGCAGGTGTGTCCCGCTGGGACAGTGCCGTGTGGGTGCCAGGAGCACCGTGGGGATGCTGATGCCCTGCAGGATCCCAAAGGACACTTGTAACTGCTGGCACTTGCCTCTTCTCTTCACAGGGGCTCCATCGACTGTATCCAGCTCATCAACGAGGAGCACATGGTGTCTGGTGCTGATGATGGGTGAGCACGGGGCCAGGATGGTGCCTGGGGTGGTGGGCAGGATACCCCCTCAGCCCCCTCACCCCTCACACCCCCGCAGGTCTTTAGCCCTGTGGGGGCTGACGAAGAAGAAGCCGCTGGCGCTGGCTCGGCAGGCGCACGGAGAGCAGGACGGCCAGGGCCTGGAGCAGCCCTACTGGATCTCAGCCGTGGCTGCCCTGCGCAACAGTGACCTCCTGGCCACAGGTGTGTGGCAGCTGCTCTTGGCAGCTGGTGGGGGAAATACCTCCTGCTCCCATCCCTGGGCTGGGGTGCATGACAGGCGCTGCTCTGTGCCCCAGGATCCCACAGCGGCAGTGTGAAGCTCTGGAAGTGTGGCGAAGGATTTCGGAAGCTGGAGCACCTCTTGGACATTCCCTTGGTATGGATGGATGGATGGGCAGGCTGGGAATTCTGGAGCTGGACTGGAGGGTCCCTCAGCAGGGGCTTCCTTCTTGGGCAGCAGGAGAAGCCCGTGGGAGCCCCTCACCCTGCCCTGTCCCTTTACCCTGCCCTGTCCCCTCCAGGTGGGTTTTGTCAACAGCCTCAAGTTCTCAGCAGCTGGTGACTTCCTGGTGGCTGGCACTGGGCAGGAGCACCGGTACTGTCCCCCCTCCCTGATGCTGCCTGAGGGTGCAGCTTCCCCATCCTCTGGATCTCGTTGGAGAGTGACCCCCACACCTCTCTCATCCACAGGCTGGGACGGTGGTGGAGAATCAAAGAAGCCAAAAACAGTATCTGCATCATCCCCCTGAAGCAGAAGACCACAGCCTCCAGCCCTGAATCCCCTGGCAGCTCCTAGCCCTCTGTCCCTGGAGCCACTGGAGCAGGTCATTCTGTCCCTGTAGCTGTGCCTCCTATCCCTGGTGCAGCCACTACTGGTCGGCAGGATGTGAGTGGGGGTTGGCACATGGCCCCTGATTCTGCTGGCCCCCATGTGTTGATGTGGCTCTGCCCTCTGCGAGGGTCTGTTCCCTTCTCTCAGGTTTGGCTGTACCTGAGCTCTGGAACAATCCATTTTGTAAAAAAAAACAAC